CTTCGACGGTCACTCGGACGACCACTACCGCGACCACGACGACGTTCGCGGCCAATGCGGCCCGACTCTCATGTAGAACCCAGACGGTCCTTGGCCATTGATACACCGGCCTCGACAATAACCGGTGACTCTTGACACGATGATGGCGGAAACCACGTGTCTCACGCGGTCAGTTCCGACTACAACTATCGGGATGCCGTGCCGAATCCCCTCGCGCGGAGAAGAAGGGCCTGCTGTCCGACCTCACCCCCTTCACCCGCTGGAGTCAATGGGCCCCCAAGGCTACGAACCCAACCTCCGTTTCCGGCACAACTTCGTTCTCGAGACCGGTCAATCAAAAGGCCTGGCCGACTTATTCGTGCCCGAAGTTCACGAGTTTCCCGGCCCAGAAGCGACCACCGATCGCCCACGTTGTCGCTTCGACGAAGAAGTACCTCGCCGCGTCGCCCGCGAGTGGTCTCCGTATCGAGAGCAAACTCGATATTTGAAACGAAGGGCCCGCCAGAGCACACCACGCCCACGGTCACCGGAATACCCCGAGACGCGAACGGAATGATCGCCGTACATCTCCCTACGAGTCCCGAGTTTCGCGCGTGATAACTCACGCCTAAGCGCTGTCATCAGCCGTTGGAGAATAACCTGTCGAGGCCGACAGGATGGCTGCGCCGAAGAATTCCTCGATCGGGTCGAGGACAGGGCCGTGTTGGAAGGCCTTCGATTAGACAGCCTGCTATGCGTCATGCTTACCATACTTCGCGGAGTCCCCCTCCAGTGATTCCGGACTCAACCCACGAACTGGAACTCGTGGAATCAATTTCGACACGACTTTTTTGGCTGGTTCGGGACTCGCGACCTATAATGGACCTTGGGCGACTTCATCCGATGCAGAACCCAGGAGGAGGAAGAAACGGCAGCGGAGTTCATCACCTGCCTACGTGTGACCTCAGACCGAATGGAGCGACTACTACACCCGGAAGACCTCGTTGATTTAGCCTTCCGTAACCTCCGGCCCCAGTATCAAAGGGAGATAAGAAGATCGGAAATATTCACCCTGGAGGATTGAGTTGAAGTCGCTGCCGAGAGGGAGGCTCTTTGGGCGAGCCTCAAAATATATCGCCTCCCTCCCTCGATAGAGGATTCGTCCGCACCGGAACTCGAGTACCGACCCCTCGAGAAAGACCGGCCACGAAGAACCGCCGACCCGGTCACGTCGATTCGCGACAAAACGGAATGGGCGTCCCCTCAGTCCCCGGGACCGAGGAGGAAACCGCAACTAAATATACGGCCCACGAACCCGAAGTCGACGCCCGAAAAGAAGACGACGAAGAGGATTTTGGTTAATGTCGCCTCTTCCGCCCCCGCCGAATCGGCGACCTCCGATTCTTCGTCAAATTCGGATGAGCCGAAGCCGTGCTGGAATTGTGGCAGTGCGGAACATTGGCCGAAGATCTGCCTGAAACCAAAGAAGAAAGATTACTGCTACAAGTGCAGCCTTCTCCAAAAACATCCCGAATGCAAGCGCTGCACAGGAAAAGGAAAAGGGGAGTGAACGGATCGGTCCACTCGACCTCCCCTTCAATTAAAAGGACCAACGACGATGACCCTCGCTCAGGCCCAGATGACCTCGTTGCCATCGTTGAGGGCCTCACCAGGAGCGCCGCCGGTAAAATCGAGACGGAAGATCGTCCCGAAGACGACGCTCCACGACCCGACGCTACGAAGAGGGAAGAGATCCCGTGTGGCGACATCACCACGCGGGAGAAGATCGTCCGACCTTTCGTCGGTGTAGCGATAAACGGTAAATCGGTTCACGCGTTGTAGGACACGGGCTCCACGCATTCGTTTATCGGACCCCTCGGTAAGGGTCCGGATATCCGACGCGAGCACGAAAATCGAACTCCCACTTCGCAATATATTTTGACCGTGAACGGTAGTCTCGAAGCGATTAACGAGGAAATGACGATCCCGGTCCAATCCGACTACGTCACATGAGACCTCGACGTTCGAATCGTCCTGAACTTAACGTCCGAAATGATCCTCGGTATGGATTCTATTCGATTGTTTGAAATTGTTATCGACAGAGCACGTGGACTCTGGCATTCGAATCTAACCGGAATTTGTCACCCGATCACCGACCGAGAAGAACCCGCCATAACGAGCTGCTGCGGAATTTCGGAGCTCACCGAAGAGGAGCACCGGAAACTCGAAGATTTCCTAGCTCAGGAGATCCCGAACGTTAGTAACGGGAAAGGAGGGACGACCCTTATCGAACATAAAATCGGCGTACAGGGTCATCCCGCTATAAAACAACGACATTACCTCGTTTCCCCTCCGGTCCGTCAAGCAATGTACGCCGAAATCGATCGCATGCTGACCGAAGGAATCATCGAACCGTCGAATAGCGAATGGTCCACCCTCGTGGTCATGATTAAGAAACCAAACGGAACTTACCGATTTTGCTTGGATTTTCGTAAGGTAAATGCAGTTTCGAAGAAGGACGCCTATCCGCTGCCTTACATCGAGGGAATTCTGAACAAGTTGCGATCTGCTCGTTATATCTCGACGATTGACTTAAGTTAAGCCTTCCACCAGATCCCGCTCGACAAATCCAGCCAAGAAATAACCGCCTTCACGGTTCCCGGAAAAGGCTTATTCCAGTTTAATCGGATGCCTTACGGTTTAACGGGAGCCCCAGTGACGTTCTAGCGATTGTTAGACCGATTGATCGGACCCGAAGTAGAACTTTACGCTTTCGCGTGCCTCGACGATATAATTATCGTCACGCCGACCTATGCCGAATATTTGAAATGGCTTAAGACCGTCTTCGACATTAATGGAGCTAACCTTTCAATTAACCAGGACAAGTGCGAATTCTGCCGGAGCGAAGTCCGGTACTTGGGCTTCCGAGTGAATAGAGATGGACTACAGATCGGCCCCGGAAAAGTCGAACCGATCCTGGAATATCCGCCACCAGCAAAAATCCCGCAACTCCGAAGATTCCTGGGAATGGTGTCGTGGTATCGACGCGTCCTCAAGGACTACACGAACCTTTCGACCCCTCTGACGAAGCTATTAAAGAAAAACGTCAGATGGTAGTGGGAAACCGAGCAGGAAGATGCCTTCCAATCGATCTAGAAGGCCTTAGCTTCCATACCGATCCTCTCGACTCACGATTTTACCGTACCGTTTATCGTACAGACAAGGCGAGTAGTTTCAGTATCGGCGCCGTCCTGACACAAAGCATCGATGACGTCGAGCACGTGGTCGCTTACGCGAGTCGAACGCTTACGGGTGCCAAACTAAACTATACCGTAACCGAGAAGGAATGTCTCGCCGTTGTCTAGGCCATCCAAAAATGTTGACATCATCGTGAGAGCTTTCGCTTCACAGAAATCACCGATCACAGTAGCCTACGGTGGCTACACAACTTGAAGAGCCCGGACGGACGACTTGCGCCGTGGGCACTCCGTCTCTTAGAATGTGACTACACCATCGTGCATCGAAAAGGTGCCCTACATTATGTTCCGGATGCACTTTCTCGAATGCATGAGCCCCCGGCGACCGAGCGCCGCCGTCGGGACTAAAGAGAGCGAAGCCGAACCGTCCCCGTTCGCAAAGGAATCTTGGTATCGCCGCCGACTCGAACACGTCCAAAGATTCCCCGAAAAGAACGAAGGTTGGAAGACTGGAAGTGACTACCTCTATCAATATCGCCCTAACTCCTTCCTAGACCTGCTCGTTCTCGACCTAAGTAGGTATACTGGGCCGTTTCTGGATAGATTAGAATGCGTGCACACGTACACGGACACACACACACATGCGCAGCGCTGGCCTATGCGTGTGAGTCCCTTCCCCCTCCCCTTTCCCCTTGCCTACAAGCTCCTGGGCCCCACGTATGCGTGCACACGGACACACACATGCACAGCGCCGGCCTATGCGTGTGAGTCCCTCCCCCTCCCCCTTTCCCCTTGCCGGCAAGCCCCTGGGCCCCTCGTTTGCGTGCACACGGACACACACATGGGCAGCGCCGGCCTATGCGTGAGTCCCTCCCCCTCCCCCTTTCCCCTTGCCCACAATCCCCTGGGCCCCTCGTTTGCGTACACACGGACACACACATGGGCAGCACCGGCCTATGCGTGAGTCCCTCCCCCTCCCCCTTGCCTACAAGCCCCTGGGCCCCTCGTGTGCGTGCACACAGGCACACACCCATGCGCACCGCTGGCCTATGCGTGTGAGCCCCTTGCCTACAAGCCCCTTGGCCCCTCGTGTGCGCTCACGCATCCATGCACACCGCTGGCCTATGCGTGTGAGTCCCCTTACCGCCTTGCCTACCCCGCCCGTCGGACCCCGCTCAACCCTCTGAAACATTGACGCAACGTTTCCTCCCTCACCCCCCGTCGAGATCGGAATTTGCCGTCAGCCATTCGATTCCCCGAATTCTGCCACTCGATTCCAAGAATCGCGTCGGCACCTTTGGTCCCCGCAGCGGTGGAAGACTCGCGACGTGATTCCGAGAATTCCCCTCGATTTTTGGAGGACAGCGGATATCTCCCTCGACGCAAGAATCCGCCGGCTCTCGTCAGCCATTCGACACCGGAAGATTCGCGACCTAATTCCGCGAATTTGGCGGCTCTCGTCTGTCAAAAAAATTTGTGGTACGGATATCAGGCAGCGGTCGCAATTCTAAGAACTTTGTCTATCGATTTTTGAGGACAGCCATAACGAGGGAGATAACCTCCCTCGACGTTGGAATCCATCGGGACTCTTCAACTACTCGACACCGGAAGATTCGCGACGTGATTCTGCGAATTCATGGATTATCATCTTCGAAAGAGTACGAGCACCTCGATCATTTGATCCTTTAAAGAAGTACCGACTCTGAGCAGTCAAAACAACTCGGATAGATTGCAACCCTTTGTCGAACCGAAAAGTACCGAGTGGAGAGGGGAGATCGTTTAAATAATGCTCCAGAGTGTAGCAGCAGCTCATTCATCGCCAAAATGTCTGCAATACCCGGATACGCGGAAATACTACCAAACGTTATCGTACCATTTGAGTGGTTAGAAGGGGACTTAGGAGAAGCGCGGATGGCGATCATTACCGCCATAGATGTGTACTCCCACCTGAGTGAATTCTCAGGCCCAAGCTTCAACTGTGTGACGGAGATTAATAATGTCCGGGCTAGCATGAGAAAAGAGGGACGACGCATCGTCTTTCAAAAAATATAAGGTAAGTACTCAGTGTAGAAAATGTTTTTCTTTTATTTTCATTTTATTTTCACTTTCTTTTCATTTTCTTTTTCTTTTCCTTCTTTTATTTTTTTGTTGATCATTTTCAATTTTTACCTTACAGATGGTGGTAGATGGGCGGTGACAGAGATCAGCGAGCCAGCGGTGATCGACGACGAGCCAGCGGTCGCCTCCATCCTCGCCGGGGCCCCTTCGCCAGCGGCGATCTACGGCGGGCCAGCGGCCGCCGCCTCCATCCTCGCCGGGGCCCCTTCGCCAGCGGCGCCTCCATCCTCGCCGGGGCCCCTTCGCCAGCGGCGATCTACGGTGGGCCAGCGGCTGCCGCCTCCATCCTCGCCGGTGGCCCCTTGGTTAGCGGCGATCTACAGCAGGCTAGCGGCCGCCGCCTCCATCCTCCCCGGGGCCCCTTCGCCAGCGGCGATCTACAGCAGGCTAGCGGCCGCCGTCTCCATCCTCGCCGGGGCCCCTTCACCAGCGGTGATCTACGGCAGGAGAGCGGCCGCCTGCCTCCATCCTCACCGTGATCCTTCGGCCGCCTCCAATCTTGTCGCCGCCCTTCGGACCCTTCGCCAGCGCGCGCCTCCATCCTCACCGTTCACCATCACCATTTTTAAAATTNTTTCTTGGACGGTTGCAAACCGATAAAGCCTTTTTAAAGAATCTTAAAGAGTTGGGGACATTGCAAGCATCCGACGAGCGTATTAAGAAACTGATCTAAGGTGCCGATTCTGAGTATTTCAAGATGTACAATGGAATCTTATTTAATTTAGAACCAAAATTAAGGTATTGACGAGTCGTTCTCCGAAGAGGGCTGGCTCGTGAGGTCATACACACGGTTCATTCTCGACTCGGACATCCAGGGTTTTTCAAAACATTGTCTCATGTGAGAAGGTATTATTTTTGGCACGGTATGTCGGATGATGTGAAAAAGTATGTCGCCTCTTGTGATCTTTGTCAGAGGGTTAAGTATTTGACTAAAAAGATGGAAGGGCGATTTTGTAGCGTCCAGCCCGTGGCTCCAAATGAGTTGGTAACCGTTGATTTTTATGGACCCCTACCGCGGTCCATGGGGGGATCGCAATATATTTTTGTTATGATGGATGGATTCACAAAGTTAGTGAAGCTGTATCCTTTAAAAAGGGCTACGACACGATCCGTAATTCGGAAACTTACAGAGAACTATATTCCCGTTGTTGGCAAACCGAAAGCTCTATTGTGTGACCATGGTAGTCAGTTTACGTCGCCGATATGGCGGATTGCTCTCGAACAAAATGGGATAAAGCTTATTTTCTCGAGTATTCGACATCCCCAAAGTAATCCGACTGAGAGAGTAATGCGCGAATTAGGAAGGTTATTCCACACGTTCTGTTCGGATGTACATACGCGATGGGCTCGGTATGTGACCGAAATCGAGACCCTAATAAATATTACGACTCATAGTAGTACTGGGTATGCACCTGTTGAATTACATTTCGGACAAGTACCAACCGATGAAATTCAAAAGATTATGAAGTTTCTTAAGGGCGAATCCTTGAACCGGGATAAGCTCATACTTTTAGTCTCTGTCTCTCTCTCCCTCTCCCTCTCTCTCTCTCTCTCCCTCTCCCTCTCCCTCTCCCTCTCCCTCTCCCTC